ATTACATTTACAATGACATGTAGCAAGTAGGTAATCCTCGACCAAGTAAAAATAGTATTACAGTAAATACTTATGCACTACCCTTCTAAATAGTTTTAGATGTTATTTAGTTTTAATTTTTGAGGTAGGCAAAATGTATAAACTCGTTTTATACAATGACAAATTTGCTATTTCTCAGGTAATACATAATTATACTTTTAATTATAGAAATAATACCAACAGCACACCTTTAAATGTCGTTCTCTTGCTCAAATTATAGATTGGCCCTTGTTTCTATATCGTTCCAATTTCTAGTGTTATATAAAAAAATATACAACTACAACACTCCTATAATACACGAAATAAAAATTCAGAGTTAATTCCCCATATGCATAAGTCAGTTGGACAACGAGCTTACTCATATATCGGACCTAAAATGTACAATTCATTACCACCTGATTTAAAATCAATAGTCTATCTAAAACATTTTAAAAAAAATCTGACTCTCTACGTTGAACAACACCGTGATTTAATTCATTATGTAATCGAGATTCTGTAGTTAAGCAGATATATCTGTCTTCGGTCTATCTTTCCACTGTTTCAGAAACTGTAAAAACATTTATTTTTTAATTTATCTTTAAATTTGTCTCTTAGTGAAGTTATTTATTGTGTATTGTTTGTTCAATATATAAAAATTGTATGAAATGTTTATTCACAATGTATTTTTATGCATATTATGTTATTTAAAAATATAGTCATTTAATTTTAATTATTGTCTAGTATATATTTGTATTTAGATTTACTATATTGTATATTGTATGTATTTTTTATTCTAAATTATTTTCGAAACAAGTGTTAAATCGCTTATCGAGCATAATAATTTATTCTAATTTATTATATTAACATGTACTTCTATTTTTGAGATTTGAGAATTTACTATATTAACATGTACTTCTATTTTTGAGAATAAATTATATTATTATTATTATTTGTGGATATCAGTGTACGCTAATATATTATAAGAAAAATATTTTTTCTTATACATATAAATGAGATAAAAGTAAACTATTTATTTTTGAAAAACAGTTACTGTTCGACAACTTTAATGACCTAAGGTAAATATGTTTTTACTGTAAGGTGTATTGTCCCATTTAAACTGTACCTACTATTAAAACAAATTATAAATAAAGTTTTAAATACCTTGCTGTCTTAACATGCTTAACTTTGGCACTTATAAACAGTATTGTTAAAAAAATGCAGTAAACAATATCGCGCTATTTATATAAAGACAGCCCTGCTCAAGAATATTCTCGGTGATCTAGAAGATTAGAAAATTCTTCCACGCCTCCAGAGAAAACATTTTAGTCGAATCTCGATCTCCAGCTGGCCATAACGGCGCGGTAAAGGCACAGAAGTAAAAATAATTTTTTGTACTTCTGTGGCAAAGGTAAATAAAGAACAGAGTCGGTCTCAGGCGATTACACAACAATTTAAATATGTTTTCATATGTACTACCACCATCCCCTGGAATATTTTACCATATTTTGATACCACCCTATTTATAATAATACATGTTTTAATGTATTAATATTTCTCTTTCTCATTATTGAATTTTTAACATTCTATTGATTTTTTATCTTTCTTTAGATTCTTTTTATTGTACAATAATCATATTATTGGGTGGCGAACTAAATGTTATTGTAATTTTTTTTAAGTTGAACTAAAGTTTATTAATAAAAAATTTAATAACATTTTTATTGAGTATTTTGCAGAATGAAAGATAAAATCTGACATTACGGAGGACATTGTTCTCAATCTTCAATTCGTGACTTTATTTCCAAGTCTACATTTTATTATATTGATATTGTTAACCCAATCATTAATTAATAGCTAGAAATTGAAAGTTTACTATCGATAAACTGTTGAAAATAATAATTATAAGGCGCGGTGCCATTATACATCTTATTTATTTGGTCCAACAAAAGTTGTTATTGTTCGAGATTTATTTGCCAATGAAAGTGAATGTAGATTTATTTGTGTATTGTTCATTAATGTAGGTAATATGTAATACTATGAATTTTGTTAAAATTTTTCAATTGAAGTGTTATTGCTCTCGTGAGAAGGCAATAATTATTATTTTATTATATTCCTTACTGACCAATATGATTAAAGTTATCTGCAGTTTGTCTCATCACTCATTAGAGTCTTTCCATTACATCAACATAACAGTATACGGTAATAAGATATTTTTGTAAAATTAATAACTAAATTTGAAATAGATTTGATATTTGGTTGTCGCATGTTTATGATTAATTTTGTATCAGATTTATTATTATTTATCTCACTTCACACATTTTTGATTAGCGACTCACAGTCATATCGTTCTAAGCTACAGGCACTGTATACACAACCAATATCCCGTTTATTTTGGGACAATTTTTTTTGTAGCTGATACGCCAGTGTAAAAAATAAAAGCAAGAGAAAGCATAGTTTCGCCGTGAATGACAAAACTTAATAGTGCCAAAATTAAATTATCTATAACTTGGCAACTATGCATTTTATTACCACAGGATTTGGGTTTTTGTTTAGTCTTTACCATGACAAGAGTTCCCATAGCAACAGTTTCTGCATAACTGATTTAAATCAAACTAAAGTTAAATTAAATCCTCAATAACTTGACATCTATGCATTTTCTTACCACGGCGTTTGGGTGTTTGTTATCATCACAGACGTTCCCATGGTAGCAGTTTCTCCATAACTGATTTATGAAACTGAAGTGAAAATTAAATCGTCTATAACTTGGCAACTACGCATTTTCTTACCACGAGATGTGGGTTTTTGTTTAGTCGTTACCATGACAAACGTTCTCCATAAGTGATTTCAGCTAAACTAAAATGAAAACTAAATCTACTTATAACTTGGCAATTACGCATTTTCTCACAACGAGATTTGGGTATTTGTTTAGTTGTTACCATGACAAGCATTCGCATGGCTCCAGTTTCTCCATAACTGATTTCATTTAAACTCTGAAAATTAAATCATCTATAACTTGGCAACTACGCATTTCTTCACCACGAGAATTGGTTTTTGTTAGTTGTTACTACGACAAATGTTCCTATGCCAACAGTTTCTACATAACTGATTTCAGCTAAACTAAAGTTAAATTAAATCGTCAATAACTTGACATCTATGCATTTCCTCACCACGACATTTGGGTTTTTCATTAATTGTTACCATGACCAGCGTTCTCATGACAGCATTTTCTCCATAACTGATTTCAGCTAAACTAAAGTAAAAAATTAAATAATCTATAACTTGGTTACTATGGATTTTCTCACCACAAGAATTGGGTTTTTGTTAGTTTTTACCATGACAAACGTTCCCATGGCAACAGTTTCTGCATAGCTGATTTTAACTGAAGTAAATTTAAATTAAATCCCCAATAACTTGACATCTATGCATTTTAGGACCACAGAATATGGGGTTGTGTTTAGTTGTTCCCATGACAGCAGTTTTTCTATAACTGATTTCAGCTAAACTAAAATGAAAATTAAATCATCTATAACTTGGCAACTATGCATTTCTTTACCTCAGGTTTTAGGTTTTTGTTTACTCGTTACCATGATCCATATACAGTTTCTACATAACTGATTTCAGCTAAACTAAAGTTAAATTAAATCCTCAATAACTTGACATCTATGCATTTCCTCACCACGACATTTGGGTTTTTCTTTAATTGTTACCATGACCAGCGTTCTCATGACAGCATTTTCTCCATAACTGATTTCAGCTGAACTAAAGTAAAAAATTAAATAATCTATAACTTGGTTACTATGCATTTTCTCACCACAAGAATTGGGTTTTTGTTAGTTTTTACCATGACAAACGTTCCCATGGCAACAGTTTCTGCATAGCTGATTTTAACTGAAGTAAATTTAAATTAAATCCCCAATAACTTGACATCTATGCATTTTAGGACCACAGAATATGGGGTTGTGTTTAGTTGTTCCCATGACAGCAGTTTTTCTATAACTGATTTCAGCTAAACTAAAATGAAAATTAAATCATCTATAACTTGGCAACTATGCATTTCTTCACCTCAGGTTTTAGGTTTTTGTTTACTCGTTACCATGATCCATATACAGTTTCTTCGTAACTGATTTTAGCTATATTAAATCATTTATAACTTGGCAACTACGCATTTCCTCACCACGGGATTTGGGTTTGTGTTTACTCGCTACCATGACAACCTTATGGCAATAGTTTATCTGTAACTGATTTCAACTAACCTAAAGTGAAATTAAATCATCTGTAACTTGGCAAATATGCATTTCCTCACCACGGGATTTGGGTTTTTGTTTACCGATCTAATAAGGCTTAATAATATAAAACATACGTTTAAAGATCATTTTGTAAATTTTGACGGTTTGATGTCAACTCAAACTTATAATAAGAATCGTAATATTTTTTCATCTGTGTAAATAACACAGCCAAATAACCTAAATTTTCTTTTATAAAAGTTCAACATGGCAACACTGTAATATTCTTATTGAGTGCCGATACTTAAGCGTGTGAATCCTTGAGTGATTTTAAGAAGAAAAGTTAATATCAACATATGTCGTAAACCTCCTAATTTTTGAGCTATATGGTTTACAGTTTTAAGAAAAAAAATACTTTTTGCCATAATTTTCTTATCACTTCAGATATTTTTATGAAATTTAGTACACATCGTAATCATGAAGGGACATATTTTTAAAAATTTTACCAGTGACGTTCGTACCGGGTTTGTAGTGAATATTTTTAAATAAAAAATGGTACGCCACTGCTTTTTTTAGAAACTAAAATTATTACGTCACTTCGTGATATTGACGACGGTATGTAAAAAAATATAATCCAACCTGTTCCGATAACTATCCTTTTAAAAACAAATACATGAACTTAATCTACTGTCAACCAGCATCGATACCATGACATGAATCACCTTTGACATTCTTATTTCGTTGTCAAAATCACTGTATAATATGGAAGCATTACTCGGCCATGTGACCAAATTTGTTTCGAACAACATCTCCATCCATTTGTATTCCTATCCGCACTTTTCAGTTGAACTCGTTTTGGCCGTCGTTTTGTGTGTCGCTCATTTGTTGCTCATTTTCGAAGTAGATAAAGTTTTCGAAATAACAAACGCCAAAGCTCTAGCTAAATTAAGAGGCAGGCAAACTCCAATGCTGAAAGAAATATGCCCAGATCTGGCTGGAGATAATGTGTCGTACCATACCATTTCCAGGTAATTGTAAAAAAAATCTTACTAATGGTTTTTTTCAGGTTATACACGGCTCCCGCTAGAGTTCAAGATGGTTCTCGTGAATATGCAATAATAAATAAAAAATATCGAAGTTTGTTACTACTTTTTAAATATTTCTTAAATTAAAAGGAACCAAAATAAGTGAACGACTGTGTGCATGCAGCTTAGAACAGCAAAGTAAAACCTGTATTTTGCGCAAAATTTTGAAAATTAGCGAAGCGCTTGCATGCGTTTCGGTAGAGCTGACAACACATTTAGTAATTTTGCAGCATTATCATTTAATATTGTTTGTGGAAACGATCTCGGACTTAAAATAATACCGGAAACCAATTCATCCACACCAAAAATATTTATTTAATAAAGAAATAGTTTTACATGTTTATTTCCAGAATGGAGACGCAAGTATTTCCACAAAAAATCGAAACAACCACTCGACAGTCATATTACGTTCCGTTTACAAGAAAAGTAGCAAGAAAAATCAGTACCAGATCGAACGTTGGTTGGTTGGTACCCAGAAGGCGCTCATCGCTGTTCAAAAACCCCCATTTAGATCGAGTAGAGCATCTCCTATCCCTGTCACCTAGCGAATACATAAGACAAGACAAACAAAGAAAAGAGAGAGAGGTGGGACTGAGGTCTTGTATACATTCATTAACTTCGCTATTAGAAAAAGCTCTGTCTAATGACGATCTTGAAACAGAATCTAAAGAAGCTATTAGAAGAAGTATTAAAAACATCAGAGCTAATCTTCAATACCAAATTGGCGATGATTACAAGTACATTAATATGATCAATCCAAGTTTAAATACTATGGTAAAAAATTGTTTGAATAGAAAAAAACCCATCAAGCATTCTTCGGTTTCGAATTCTGCAAAGGGAGATGGAAGCGAGTTTGAAGATGTTTCGAATGTGGGATCTCAAGATACTATCGATGTTGCTACGTCTGATTACAGCGATTATTATGTTGATAGGAGTTTCGAAGTTATACATGGAGATAAAAAATTGCGTGTTTAATAAATTGGATTAATATATTTTTAGCGATCAAAATCTTTGAACGTGGTGTTAAATTGCTTACTGTAATTTGTTAAAAAGGATTGTAATAGTAATGTAATAAATTATTTTATATTTTACTTTTTTAGTTTCTTCTCTTTTTGGATACCCTGAATGAAATATCAGATTAATCGTATAAATACATCGCATATGAGAAATATAAACCTCGATTGATCTACTTTGAGTGTTCATTTGACTAATCCCTTTTTTGCCTACATTAGTTTTACAAATAAAGAGAGCAGTAACGTCACATGATAAAAAACCTTCGGCGTTGTCAGGTATATTTTTTTGTTCCTTCACTTAAAGATAACATTGTGACAGTGTTCGTTCTTTTTTCCTAGCTTGAATATAAGTGCATCTAATGTGCAAAACTCATGGCCGATTTTTGAAAATGCAAACAAAATCGTAACATTGAAATACTCGAGCCCGTCAGATTAATATACAGACGGTTCAGCTTGATGTCCTTGTCGTGTTGACCCATAATCTGATAATTATGCGGAGGAATTTCCTTAATGTGAAGGTTTGAAAAAAAAATTGAGTTTGGGGACGGTGCGAGAAAGAGTGACATAGAGAAAGAGTGAGAAGGGAAGAGAGGCGCGGAGTTCAAAGGACATAGTTCTCAGCAGCTGCACGCACCACACTTTATTGATGATTTTAACTACTTTGGCTTGTGGAAATCGGCAGATTATATTATTCCCGTGATCCTTAAATGATTGCCTTCTAAAAAAAAAAAAAAATTAACCGTGTGGAGAATGTCCAAGTTGCGTTTTTTTTGCAACTTTGCGACTCTACTATTTCCTTATGTCACAAGCAAATCTTCAGGTTATAGAAATGCACACGTTTCTGGATGTAATTAACTCACTTTGCCATAATCTGACGCGCTCAAGTTTTTCTAACAATCAATTTTTTTTTACTAATCTGATCGGCTGCCCTAAACGCTCGACTCTATATAAAGGGTTCATGTATAGTTGGGGTAATTAACAGGGTGCAAGGTTTCCCCCTTATGTAATTCTGCCGAGCTTAAGTAAATCCCAAAATCCCCGCTTGGGCTCCACTACTATTACGGGATTTGGTTAAACATGAAATTTAATGAAAAAACCAGTGAATTTTATGACATCTTAAGTACTAGTTCTGACAAGTAGGTCAGTGAAATTGTTTTAGGGTTACTACTGGAGTTACCAATGTTACTTTAAACCAACTGAGGATATCAATTAGGTCGTGTGGGCTACAGTTATTGTTAAAGACTCTGTATAAACGAAAATGGAACACAATAAGCCATTAGCTCTTGCTCATTACCTCTTAGTTTTATTAAGTCAAACAAGCCCAAGAAAAAAAATGGGATATTTTCTTGTATTCTCCTCCTTTGTTAAAATTGTAATTTTTACCCACTTTATCGGACTTAATAAATTAAGTACAGCGTACACTAATTTAATATTCTAATTAAATCAACGCATTAGTAATAAACTTTTCAAAGTTCAGGAATGGAAACATTTACACGCTTCACGGTCCACGAGCGCCAATTTTACCTCATTACTATAACCATTACTTACTCTAATAATGACAATTGTGTTCTAATTGTAGTTTTTTAAACTATTATTCTTTGCATGAATGTTAAATGTAACGAATTCATCAGGTACTGTTCTAATTTCTAGACGATAATGGGTACAGGATGCCCTGAGAAAAAGTAGAATCTTTACGAGTTATTATTATTGCTCCAATACGAAACTGCATGATTATTGTTTATATGATTTTATTTTTCACTTCATAATTTTAAAGATATTTTAATATAGTTTATAGTAAGTGTTTTCAGATCGATAATAAAATATAAAAAATAGTTTTTTCGCCATTTGGACCTCCTACTATTTATCCCAGTGTGAATTCTGGTACCTTCGATGATTCGAAGCTTATTATGCCTCCTTTTATGTGTCCTTGGATGGATGCTCGGTATATACTGTGCAAATTAATTCACACATATTTTTAGTTTGATTATTTATTAGTTACAAACAAATAAAAAAATACAGTCAAATTGTTTTATTATGTAATGTGTCCTTAATTGGCATTTATAAAATTTTCAACATTTTGGCATAAAGTAGGGATGCGCACGATGTATCGATGTTAGAAAAACATCGATTTTTAGGTTTCTATTTTCGATGATTCCATCGATGTTTTTTTGATATGATGTTATTAGTAAACATCGATGTTTTTGCGTTTTCTTTTTGATGTTTTTCAAACTTTACGTTTTAATTTAAACAGGATCAGGTACCTAATTGGAACGCCATTACCACCTAATGCAAAACTTTGGTTCAGTTTGTCAATTAGAACAAGATCCAACAGCAATGTGCTTCATTGAACTACTTGTTTATAAATCTCTGAACAAATGTTTTATATGTAGAAGAAGAAATCGCGATATATTAACTTTAGAGGCAAGACTAAATTTTTTAAATACAGTTTCTTTTGAACAAATTTTGTCAGTACCCAAAATCAATGTAAAAAGTGCGGGGTCCTTTGATTTAGACCAGTTTCTTGTCTCATCGCGCATTGGAATCTCCCATTATATCATATCAATGGAAAAAGGAATCTCAAAGTCTTTACCACAAATTTATTGCTTTATTGAGAAACGACAACTAGTTTCGGTCGATATTGACCGGCTTCAGGCCTAAAAAATAACATGACTTTCTAATAAAATTATCAAATATATTGAATAAGGCTCATCTTATCAAAAAGGTTGGAATATGAAAAAAATATAAAAAATTTCCTCACCTATTTTATAGGAAAGATTCTTCAGTTGTCGTAAAAGTTACTAAAAAGATACTCTCGATGCGTTTTGTGAAGGTAGGTAAAGATTCCAATCGAGGAAGTTGTGGAAACTGCTTCGTAGTCTGAGAGACCTGAGCTAATTACTTGGTGATCCACATCAACGGGTTTAAAATCGGAGACTACGTAATCAATAATTGTAAATGTTGTTTTTGTGATTCTAGTTGTTGAATCTACGTGCATAATGAGTTCCTACTTTTTATAGGCAATGCGTCAAGTATATTAAGAAGGTTCTTTAGAAAGATGTGTACATTTGATTTGGGTGTTTTATAAATAAAACAAATCAACGTTTTTGTGGAGAATTCGAAGACATTTTCTGGTAGTAAAAAATCGTATTTAGATACAGCCGAAAAGTCATTATTTAAGGATAAAATTAGAGTCTCACCATGGTCTGAATTAATTCTGTCATATCTGCTAATTATAGTGTATTTTTATAAAAACTGGGTTACCAACTTGTAACCAGTGATCTGTAATAGCCACTATTTGGGAGATATGCCAGCTTTTCCAAAAACAAAAACATTTCCTCTGTTTTCTTCAGAATCAATATAACATTAATTAGAACCATTCTTAATTTACTGTCTGCATAGCCAGTAAGACTAGTTGGGGATAGTAGTTCCCCACAACACGTCATATTAACTAAAAATTTTTCTTAGGTGAATCGGCAGTAAAATAACGATTATTGTACTCTCTTTGCTTTTATAGGTAAATTCTTCGTTCCGCTGATACATATGATCTGCAGGAAGAGAGATCGTTATCGTTGCTCACTTCAGCAGGGCCAATACTATATAAGTCTTGATAATTATAATAAATATTCCGTAAAGCTCCAGGATCAACTGGCAGACCTTCGAAGGCAAGAAACGCTTTTACACTTTTGTTAGTGTAGCCCTCATGACAGACGGATTATGGTTGGTCAGGAAGAAAAATTAGTATAATTATCATTTAATCATCTGAAAGCAGCTTTCGTCGCAGTAGAATAAAATATGGAAGGTGTTAGGAGACTTGAAAATGCCAAACGATCTTATGGTTATAATTAAAAAACATATGAGACTGTTAAATTAAGAATACAGATAGTATAAAGATGTATACCTATATCTGAAAACCTTTTTTGTTGTTCCTTATTATTCATGGTATTATTTAAAACTTTCTCTCAATATTCCATTTAAAAAATTTAATCTTTTGCATTAACAGTTCATTCCCATTGCATTGGCCACTGTTTTGGGAAAGTTGCATTTCATTTTTGAATTATTGTTACATTATGAGAAAATGACGATTATCTAAAATTCTTTCCGTTTTACGCTAGACATTGATATATACATTCACATGTCTGTGATCTAAACACCTCTTTACAAAAAAATAAAATACTTTCTTTTGTTACAGGTACGTACATTTACAATTATTTGACGGCGAGGTGCTGGGAATTTGAGAACACAAAGATGAATCGACTAGTAAAACTAAATTTCAACAGATTGCAGAAGGTATTTAAATTTAGATAAATTGTTTGGTATATAGCCCACATTCTTTTATTATGTTCCTTTTTTCACGGTTGTAGTGATATGGATCTCGTCGACTAACATTCACTCAACGAAATTTTTTGTGAAGGTATTGTTAAGAAGAAGTAAAAGTTTTATTAGACAGTATTAAAGTTTATACTTTGTCATAATTATCTCAAATGATTTGAATAAAATTTAATTAAGCGGTTGAAGATGAGGATCTAACTATTAAAATATTTTTATCATTGGTTTTTTTATGGACGAATAGAATTGAATAATAATAATAGTTAAAATTCTCTTTCAAAATAAAATCACTTTCTTTTCGAATTCTTTTGAAATAGTATTAAAGTAAGAGTTTAGGATCAACTTCCTCAGGAATTTAGAATTATTGATGCAACCAACATTGCTTAAACGAAAAATAAAAAAGGTGGTGGATGCAAAGATTACCAGTAAATCCTTGTGGTACAATTGAATTGATGAGTCAAAGAACAGTACTAGTCCAGAAATGGACGTTTTGAGTTAAGATAGCTAAATCGATAATAACATGTGTCTCCACTCATTGAGATCAAATACAGTATAATACACACAATAGGTTCGGCAATATAAATTACGTTGAAACTGGATGAGTGGAAGAGCAGTATAAGTCCAGGAAATGTACCG